AGAGACATCACCTTGCCGACAAAAGTCCACATAGTTAAAGCTATGGTTTTTCCAGTAGTGATGTATGGAAGTGAGAGCTGGACCATAAAGAAGGCTGACCGCCAAAGAATTGATGCTTTTGAATTGTGGTGCTTTTTGCATGAGGCCATGTGCACTCCCCTACCCCATAAATCAAAAACTAGAATCAGACTTCCAGGTACTTCCAGTTTTGATATCCCCTCCCCCCCACTTTGCAGTTTTAGGTTGGTGGGGCCTGCAGTACGTGCTGATTGTCCTCTGTGTTACTTATGTGGCCTACATACAGTGGTGCCTCGCTTGAAGAGGATGATCCGTTCCAGCAAAATCGCTGTAGAACAAAACTCTCATCAAGCGAAATGAAAAAGCCCATTGAAATGCATTGAAAACCGGTTCAGTGCGTTCCAATGGACAAAATACCTCAGCGTCCAGCAAAGATCCTCCATAGGCCGGCCATTTTCTGGTGCCTGTCTTGCGAAAAAGCCTTCCTAAACACAGTGGGGAGCCATTTTAAACAGTGGGTGACCATTTTGAAACCCGACAATCAGCTGTTTTCTGAGCATCGTAAAGCAAAAAAATTGGTTCCCAAAGCAGGGAACTGATCATCGTAAAGCGAATTTGCCCTATCTAAACATCATTTTGCGATTGCAAAGCAATCGCAAAAAACACATTGTCTAACGAGGTAATCATCAAGCGGGGCACCACTGTAGTTCTGTTGTCAAACAAGGGGTAATATCCAAAGGCCTCACAAAGAAAAGGCTGAGGTGTCGTGTTTTCATACAACCTGAGATGAAAGCTGAAACTTGTAGCCTCTGAGTCATGCTGCAGCTCTCTTTTGGAACTTGCTTGGAATAAAGAAACCGGGCTTGCATACAGTATCTCAGCACTGTTGCTTTCCAGACTAAGGCGGCTGACTCAGTCTGCCTCATGACAAAGGCCGTTTTGTCATCAATCCCCTAAACCTTCATAGGTTAATTTATAGTGTGTTGACTGATCTATCTCTGTTCATTCCTCTTCTTAAGAAAATATTCATTTAATAAACATGTACAAATCTCTACACAGAGCATCCATGATGCCTTGGATCCTTTTTCCTGCTTTGGAAGAAATGAAATCCATCAGATGAATACAGCTGTGTTTCCCGACCATCAGAGGTAAAAGCTGAAACCTGCAACCTCTGAGCTCATTCTGCAGCCCCCATTTTGGAAGCTACTTGAAAAAAACAACACCTGGCCTGCCTATCCCATCATGAATTTTGGAACCATTGTGGGTTCTGTAATGTCCAGCCTCATGAAGACTTCTGCAGAGTCAAAAGCTAGCTTGTGCTTGTGAACTTTTATAGGTCTAATGAAAGTATCACCTATCCTTGTCTTGGATTGTGGTTTTCTTGTTTTGACTATGAAAGATATCCTGAGCCGCCAACCAGGGCAGCGTATACAACCAAGCAAGGCCACTCAATACTGCCCCAGTAGGACTCTGAACTGAGGACATTCTCCTCCTCCTCTAATTGCTTTACCTATTCTATAAACAAAATGTTATCCCAACTTCTCTGATGAGGCTTTGCCACATTTCTATGTGCCTTTATTCCCAGAGAAAAAAGGACCATGTATTTCAGCACAAGTCCATGTGTGTGTATGTGTATGTTTGTATCTATCTGCACATGTGCATTGAGATAATGGCAAATTCATTTAACAAATTCAGGAGAAAGATTCTAATACAGCCTGCCAAGGTGAAATCTGAAATCTACTATTTTTGAGTTCACTCTGCAGCTTCATATTAGAACTTGTATGAAATGAGGAAACCTAACCCTCCATAACTTGTCATGGCTTTTGGAGTTTATATGAAGATCCTGAGGACTCAAAAGTCAGTATCTGCTTATATGAGATTATGTTCAGATTATGTTTCTTTAGGTACTTCAAGTGGTGCATCCAAAAGTGTGTGCTTTATGATTTCTTGGTCTTTATTTGTTCGCTTGAGTACTTCTTGGATGCTTACCATCTCAAGGCAAGAAATTCTTGGATAAACCCACATTTTAAACATTTCTCTCTTTATCACAGTTACTTTGTGCCATAGTAAAACCAGAAATACATTGTGTCATACCGTGCATACTCTCAAAGCTGTTTGCAAGCACTTTTTGCAAATCACATTCTTAGACCACTGTAACGCACTTTACGTGGGGCTGCCTTTGAGGCTGATGCGGAAACTTCAGGTGGTGCAGAATGTGGCGGCCAGACTCCTCACTGGAGTGAGAAAATACCAACGTATTTCTCCAACTCTGGCTGCATTGCATTGGCTGCCCATTCGTTTCCGTGTTGACTTCAAAGTCTTAATGCTTACTTACAAGGCCCTAAATGGTTTAGGACCTCAATATTTGGCAGAACACCTGCTCCCACCAAGGTCTACCCAGATCACCCGCGCGAGTCAAGAGGAGAGGCTGAGGAGCCTGATGCTGAGAGAGGCCCGGAAGGAAAAGACACGAAACCGGGCCTTCTCGGTGGTGGCTCCTCGCCTCTGGAACAACCGCCCTTCAGAGATTCGTGCGGCCCCTACGCTGGGAATCTTTAAAACCCAATTAAAAACATGGTTGTAGATCCAGGCCTTCCCTCCAGTTAATACCTGATTTCTTTTCTATTCCTTCTTATTTTATTCTCATTCTATTTTATTGTAACTGTATCAAATGATTATGTAATGTTCTTGTGTTTTATTTTTTTTTATCCTATACTGGAAGCCGCCTAGAGTGGTCGAGTAGACCAGATAGGCGGGGTATAAATCAAATAAATCAAATAATAATAAATAATAAATAAATTCATCTTAAGGAACTCATTCTGAACCATCTATTTTTATTGGCGACTACAATTGTACCTATTAGGGTTGTGCATTATTTTAAAATTATTTCAGGCATTACAAACTTTATTGTATTAACATCTATAGTTCCTTATATGCCATTTTGAGAGCACAGTTTACTTCTGGAAAAAAAACACAAATATTTTAAATAAACAAAACATTGTTTTTCTGGATCCATATTTCTTATGGATATTCAGGTTCTGCTCGTGCACTGGTTTCTCCTGAAAAATGAAATGGGACTCGTTTTTTTTTTTAAACACATCTGAATGTCACAGGCTGCTCATTATATTACTAGAATGCAGTCCGAGATGATGAGTGAACATACAGTGAAAGCACAGGAAACAATGTTATGCTTAGATCCGGGATGTCTCTTTCCGCTATCACCCCCTACATCCCATGTCCGCTCCTGTGCAAAACAGCTTGCAATTTTCACATTTGGAAGGCTTGAAATGAATCATTTGTGAACAATCTGCATCGCTGCAATTAATTGCTCCTGAAAGTAGTGGTATCATTTTTGAATAAAGAATAAGCTCGGTAATTGCACGATCTGTTCACAGAGGACCTGCCAATATAAAAAGGTGGGAAAAGGAGCTAAACAATGGCAGAATGAATCACTGAAAGCTCTCTTCCACTCAAAATGGCTGTACTGGCTATCTAGTTATGCTTGTTAATGACCAGAGAAATTAAAAGTAACACAGATCTGCATTAGTCGGGGCACTGAGGGAACATGGTGAGGGAAAATAGAAAAAGGCATATTATATATATTGTGATGGACAAGACTCATAAAACTCCATCATTTAGTCATGCCTACCAACAGATTAATATGAATGTTTTACTTTCTATAAGGTTCATATTTTTTTTCAAGCATCAGCTTTCCTTCCCAAAGCTGCATCAATTTGCAAATATGTTTTTAGAACAGCTCCATAGACATGTATACCTACCTTCACGTACATACACGTTTGTATGGATTTTATATGCATATATTCCTCTAATATATGAAATTTCTGTGAAAATGTTTGCCTAATATGAAATTTTCTATATGTTATTTTCCCTAAAGTGTGTAGTTTCTCTTTTTAAATACCTAGTTTGAGTGAAGAGCTGCATTGCCCTCATTTACAAATCTCATGCACAATTTCAATTCTTTTATTAAAACAGCAACTTTGAGAAGGCAGTTGGAATCCTGGAAACCAGCTTAATTTCCTCTTTACTGCTGGATCTTACCTTCTTACGGTCCTCAGTAATGTCGACCTAGCTTCGTTATGGAAGGTAATGATAATGCTGGTTGGAGGCAGGTCTGAGCTATAGTGCAAAGTAGTGCATCTAAATGAAGGAAGAGAGAAGGGGGGAAAAAAACATTACTTATGTTTTGGAATCTTAAGATCGCAGCATTCTATAGGTGACTTCCTCAACATTTATTAGATAATAAGCAGGGTTGTGGCTGCACTGAAATCAGCATGAATGACATTTTGCTTTTGTTTGTTTTTAAATCGTGCTGCTTAGCCAGAGCATTTCAGACCTGTCAGTTTATTTTGATCCGAGAAGAATCAAAACAATCTTAAGACAGATCGCAGTTAAAGCGCAGCAAGTGAGCAGAGACTATGGGGTCTAGAAACAGACGGGAAGTCAGTATCTACATCAAAAAGCTGGTAGAAATATCAGCCATACCATGTTAACAATCTTGCTGTTCTATTTTGGATCCTCTGATATTCCAAGACCATTTTTAAAGGCACACTACATTATTCCAAATTAGAGGTGTTGAGAACAAAACTGTAACCATGTCACCTTTATTAGTCCACTAGTTTTTCTCACTGTAGCACTTCTTGTCTTGTCTGCACTGAATCATCACAATGACTACACATTGATTCAGAAGACCGAGTGGGTTTTCTGGTATGGTTAAAAAGGAAAGGTAGATGTCATCTTCTTATTGGTTAAAGCTTCACCTCCATCTCCACATAAGGTTCCCCAGTAATTTTATAGAAGTGTGAGATAACAAAGAACCCCATCCACATAATACAGTATGCATGTTCTGGGAGAGGGCAATATTACACCTCCCACACCTTCTGCACTCAGTCATACAAACAGAAACAGGAATAGTAACTGCATACTATGACTTCAATAAAGGCAGCATGATTCTCTTTGTGTCCCTTCTAACTTGGATGCAGGATAAGAGAAATGTAGCTTATTAGTGTTTGAACTCAGATTCATGGACTTCTTTATTCTTTGTTTCACTCCTCGTTGTTTATCACAGGTAGATGAATAATATGTTATTCTAACATATCCTCATATTATGTCACAGATACTGGGTTAATTTCCGTACTCCTGTGCAGTGAAATTTCCTTTATGTGAGAGAGACTCAGCCACAGGTAACACTTAATTCTGAAAGATGTAAGGACTTCAGTATATGTGGCATATTGCTCTTTCCCTAAAATAAATGTAGTCATTACATACATAGTTGGGATTATGAACGATTTCCCACCTCATAGAATTTTTCCCCCAGATAAGTTTGACTCCTGTCACCCCATGATATTCAAAGTTAATCCTCTTTTCTTTTCTTTCTCCGTTATCTTCTTCATTATTCTTAATTTTTTTTTTTCATAAGAGAAAGGCTCTTTTCCTACATAGCATTAGAGCAAATACTGAAGAACCAAATGGATTTCCTAAGAATTCAGTAGACAGACTACAAGACTACTAGATTTTGGCCTCATCATCCTATGCTCAGATCTTATGTCAAGCCCTGCTCATATGAATCCATCAAAAGTTTCATTAGGTCATTCTGGGACTGAGCGAAAATGATGATGATGATGATTAAAAAAAATAATAGGCTCATGCCATCCCATTGTTTTTTTATCCTCTGTTTGGCATTTGCTGTGAATACCTCACTGTAAAAGATAAAGAGATTAAGCATCGGTCTGTAGAACTACCAGCATGGATGGAAATTTATTGGCTTTTCATGACATGCTGTATGTAAAAGCTATACATCTTCACCTTTCTCTCATCATGACGGGAACAGTTCCCTGACATGACATTCAAACATACAGAAAAAACCTTTGTTGGCAGATCCTCCAGATTCTTTTACTTTCATCACACTAAAAAGACTTCTGCTTGTAGCCTTAAATAGTAATTGGTTCCCTTTATGAAAGAGCATTCTTTTCAAAAAGGCTTTTTTTTATATTCTTTGTTGGCTCTTTTCCTGTATAACAATGTTTTCTAAATCACGGGCCATGAAGGGTTAGAACTCACTTTCTCTGCTACCACTTTCTGTTTTGCCCTCACATATCTCTCTGGTGAGAGGCTGAGGTAGGGTTCACTAAATATGATTAGAGAAAGACAGAGGAAAAAATGGGCAGACTCTACTTCTGCCTCCTTTATATGACTACAAAAAATCGAGGAACTTTGCCCGAGAAGGGCCTGAGGAAGTATTTAATGTGGTCCAGCTCAGAGAAGATTAGACCTCCTGCTTTTACATTTAAGTTTTAATATACTGTAAATGCAGTATTTTTTGCAGTTACTAATCCTATCTTTTAAAAAAAACTTAAAGTGTGCTTTGAAATATGAAATAAGGATAAACAGCCCCACTACCCTTCCTCTTCAATGCTTCCAGTGTTGGAGTGCTCACCACCTCTCGAGGTAACTGGCTCCACTATCATACTGCTCTAACAGTCAGGAAGTTTTTCCTGATATTCAGCCTAAATCTTGCTTCCTATACCTTGAGCCCATTATTATGTGCCCTGCACTCTGGGATGATTGAGAGCAAATCCTGCCCTTCCTCTGTATGACAATCTTTCAAGTATTTAAAGAGTGCTGTCACATCTCTTTTCAGTTTTCTTTTCTCAAGGTTAAATATTCCCAGTTTTTTCCCCATTTTTTCCTCATAGGACTTAGTTTTCAGTCTCCTGATCATCCTTGTCCCCTGATCATCCTTGTTCCAGTTTCCTGGCTTCCTTCTTAAAGTGCAGTGTTGAAAACTAGCAGTTCACAGGATTTGGAGACTATAGTTCTGTTAATGCAGCCTAAAACAGCATTGGCCTTTTTTGCAGCCACATCACACTGTTGGCTCATATTCAGCTTTTTTATCTACAACAATTCCAAAGTGCTTAGAAGTGAATACTTTGGAGAAGGTGGATCTAGGTACTAAACTGCCTACAAATCTTTAATTTTTTATTTTAATGGCTATTGGGAATTGACAGGTCTGACTTCTTACATAAGATGGATCATAATTTTTTTAAAGGCCATCTAATAAATTCTATGGGTTCATGAAGTGTTTCAGGAAGATACACTATGCTTTTCTAACAATAAATTTGTCCTTGTTTGTATTTTAACAGTTAATTCACTTTCTATTCTGTTTCTTCAGGCCCTTTACATATTTAAGATAGTATCAGGTGTCAGTAATCTGTACCATCAACTCAGACTGGCCCGCTATGGGTGGTAAAAATGCAGCAGAGAATGCCGTTAGGCTCCATTTAAACAAACAAATAAACAAACAAATCCATGTACAGTCATGCCCCGCTAGACGATTACCCCGCTCTACGACAAATCCGCTTTACGTTGATGTTTTTGCCATCGCAAAACAATGTTTTAAATGGGGTTTTTTGCTGTGCAATGATTGGTTCCCTGCTTTGGGAACCGATTTTTGCTTTACGATGATCAGCAAACAGCTGATCGTCGGATTTCAAAATGGCCGCCGGCTGAAGAAAATGGTCCCCCACTGTTTTCTAGGACGGATTCCTCGCTTTACAGGCACCGAAAATGGCTGCCGTATGGAGGATCTTTGCTGGACGAACAGGTATTCAGCCCATTAGAACGCATTGAACAGTTTTCAATACATTTCAATGGGTTTTTTTATTTTGTTTGACGACGTTTTTGCTCTACAGCAATTTTGCTGGAACGAATTAACGTTGTCAAGCAAGGCACCACTGTACTCAAATATAATGCATTTCAAGTATTTCACCAATGTATTTATTCTAGGTATGCCCTTCTCTTTTCAAGGGCTCTCTTCATGATACAATCTAAGTTGTAATTTCCACTTCCTCCTCTAATTATCAGAAAAATACATTTCAAGCCACAAGGTGAAAGTCTGTCACAAATGAGGTGAAGAGAAAAGAGGAACTATGAGAATACTGGCAGGGAAGAATTATTAGATGGCTTGGTGGTAATTTCTGTAAACAGAGAGAGCAACTAGCTTCAAAACTGACAATGTCTAGTTCAAATGCCCCACAAACAGGGACAGATCCCAACTCCTGTTCCATCAAGCTACTCTTACTTTATGAACGCAAAACCCCCGGTCAGCATACCTGATAGCTGCGCTGAGCAACAACGAATGCAGTATTCCAAGCAACCAGACCCAGATGGCAAGTCATCACTTTAGTTTCCCACAATGCTCCTCGTACATAATCCTCCTGTCACTCAGGAATATTACCACTTCTCCGACGCAGCTACCCATCACTGATTAAATAACGCAGAGGACGTATCAATGGGCAACTCTGCTGTGGGATCCTGGAAACTGCAAAAATATGCAATGTCTAGCCACAAATTTAGTTACTGATTAAGCTCTATGTGAAAGCTGTGGAAACATTAGTGGTCTAGGAACTTAAAACAGCAGGGCTAAGGGGCCTCAGGAAGGTACAAAGAAAGTGAGGCCACATTTAATCCTTAACACATTTGGACATTACTTGGGCAAGCTGAGGAACATGCCCCAGAGCTACAGTTTCTAAGAATGCAAACCACCGCTGAGTTTCATGCAACCATTTTCTGAGTTGTAAACCAAAGCTCAATTCCATGCAACAACTTTTTGGCCTTCAAGTAAAGCCTTTGTGAGAATCCAATTACTGATGAATACTTGCATAAGTGAAATAGAGGTAGCAAACCCCCACCCATTAACAAAATGCTGATTACCGCATTTTTCTGTGTATAAGACGCCCCCATGTATAAAACACCCCCCACTTTTCTAACCCCAAATTAAGAAATCTAAGTGGGGCTTAGCAAGTGGAGGGGAAAGCAGGGATCAAAGCCCTGCAGGATCACTTTGATCCCTGCTTTCCTCTCCACTTGTGTTTGGTCTCGCTTCAGCTTATTTCCGTGTATAAGACGACCCTCAATTTTTAGTCTAAAGATTTTAGTCAAAAGTATAGTCTTATACATGGAAAAATACGGTACATTCTTGGGTCCTTGCTGAATGGTGCAGTTGAGCACACAGCCAGGAGTGCAAACAGCACTTCATTCATGAGCAGCAGTCTGCTACTGTTATTTATGCCATTTCACTTCATTCGTTTAGTCGTTTAGTCATGTCCGACTCCTCGTGACCCCATGGACCAGAGCACGCC